TGTTGAAAAGATTGTAATTTCCTCGTTTGATAGGTTTTATTATCAACTAGCTGGGGTTTTTTTAATCTGATTGTTGTTGTTATGTGCTGTTGAGTCACTTGTGACTCTTAGCAAACCTATGAACAATAGTCCTGAAACCTGCTTTCTTCTGTGCCAACTTTACTGTCTCTGGCACACCTATCCTCATCATACCGGTCACTGAATCAATCCATCTCATCAATGGTTTTTCTCCCTTTCTCTGTCCCTTCACCTTTCCAAACATGATGTCTCTCTCCAAGGACTGAACTCTCCTTGCAATATGGCCAAATTATGTCAGACATAGCCTCAGAATCCTTGTCTCCAAAGAGTAGCCTGATTTCACCCTCTCTGGGATGAATCTGTTTGTTTTGGATGAATCCTGGCAGTACATGTTTTATTCAACACTTTTCTCCAGCACCACAGCTCAAAGGTATCAATTCTTTCTTTCATCCCTAGTCATTCTCCAGCTCTCTGACACATAGTAAGCAGTTGTGAAGACTATATCCTGTATCAGGCACACCTAAGTCTCCAGACTGAGGTCATTGCTCTTCTGTACTCTACAGAGGCCCTTGACAGCCAACTTTCCTGATGTAGTTCATCTCTTGATTTTCTGGCTGCTGATACCAAGAGTATGAATTGCGGAGCCAAGCAAACGAAAGCTGTTAACAATCTCAATCTCTTAAACATCTGTCTTAATGTTGTAAATCAACCTAGTGGTGAGAATCGTTGTTTTCTTGATATTAAGCTTCAATCCATATTGAAGAGTGCAGTCCTTGACCTTCTGCAGCAAGTGGTTCAGTTCCTCCAAAGTTTCAGCAAGCAAGATTGTGCCATCAGTATAATGCAGGTTGTTGAGTCTTCCTCCAACCCTAATGATTCATCCCTCCTCATACAGCCCAGCCTCCCAGATGATTTGTTCTGCATATAGATTGGAAAGGTATGGAGACAAGATATATCTCTGGCATACACCCTTTTTGCTTTGGAAACATGCAGTGTTTCCTTGCTCTCTTCTGATGACCGCCTCTTGGTCCAAGTATAGGTTTCACATAAGCACAATCAAATATTTGGGATTCCCATTCTTTTTAGAGTCAGCCACAGCTTGTTATGATTCACACAGTCAAAAGGCTTTGCATAGTCAATGAAGCACAGATAGACATTCCTCTGGTACTCTCTGCTTTCTGCCAAGATCTATCTAACATTAGCTATAACATCCCTAGTCCCATGACCTTTTCTAAACCCAGCCTGCACATCTGGCAGTTCTCTGTTAAAGTGTTGCTCCAGTAATTTTTGGATAATTTAATCAGAATCTTTATTGCATGGGATAGTGTTTGATAATTTCCACACTCTGTTGGGTCACCTTTCTTTGGAATATGAAAAAATATAGATTTCTTCCAGTCAGTTGGCCAGGTGATTGTGCTAAAGATTTCTTGACACAATTTAGTGAGTGCATCCAGGGCAGCATCTCTTTGTTGAAATATGTCAGTTGGTATGCCATCGACTCCTGGGGCCTTGCTTTTTGTTAATTCTTTCAGAGAAACTTGAACTTCCTCCTTCATCACCACAAACTGTTGCTTGTTGGAGAATGTTGGAGAGGAAGGCAGGGCCTCTGGCCAGGACAGATTGCCTAAGCTCCAGATAAGTGCAAGCCTCCCAGTGGCTTTAATATGGGATAGAGAAAGCTCTCCTATGTTTGGCTGTACCAGCTTGAGAAAGCTCTTCACCTGGGAAGATAGCTGCCATATCTGTTGAGCTGGGAGTAGTCTGCACAAGGCTGAGGTTCTCCTATCCAATCTGCATGTCCCACGTCTGTAAGCCCACCGTATCCTGTCTTCCTGTTTACTTGTTCGTATATAAGTGTGCTGAAGCCCCCAATAAAACTGAGCTGGATTGACTCTTTGATTCGCTCCCGGAGTGGTGTATCTCTGTCATGTTTACCCTCATCAGGGTGTCACTGTTTGTTGCCGGTGAACAGACAGCCATAGTTGCTTACATGTTGTTTCATGAAATTCTTCTGTGTCAGCTAATTCCTTTTGGTACAGTGAGACTCTGTATACTCCTTTCATCTTCTTTTAATGCTTCCTGGATCATTTAATATTCTGCCCAAAGCATCCTGAAGTATTGCAAATTGCAGTTTGAATTTGTTCTTCAATTCCTTCAGCTTAAGAAATGCTGAGTGAGTTCAGTAAATGGGTTAATTTGTTGGTTCTTGATTCTGTTCCACTGGTCTATGTGCCTGCCATTGTACCAATATCATGCTGTTTTGGTTGCTACCACTGTGCAGTAGGTTTTGAACTCAGGGTGTTCTACGTCTCCCACTTCATTCTTGTTTTTCAAAAGTGCTTTGCTTATTTGAAGTCCCTTTCCTCTTCAAATAAACTTGGCAATTGCCTTAATGTTCTCCTTGAAAAATGAATTTGGTATCTGTATCAGGATTGCATTAAACATGCAGATTGATTTTGGTAGTTTTCAGTATTGAGTCTTCTTATCCATATACAGGGAACATTTTTCCATTTATTTAGATCTTTTATTTTCTTGCAGAAATGTTTTATAGTTTTCTTTGTACAGGTCTTTTGTGTCTTTGGTTAGATTCAACCCGAGTATCTCAATTTGTGGTTGGCTATTATAAATGGTGCTGCTTTCATTGTGTTCTTTTGTTACTGTGGAGGAATCCGACTGATTTTTGGATATTGATCGTGTATGTTGCAATCCTACTAACCTTGTCCACTAACTCTAACAGTTTTTTTGTTGAGTCCTTCAGGTTTTCTTTGTACACTACCATACCATTTACATATAGTGATTGCTAACTATCTCTTTTCCAATCTGGATGCCTTTTATTTCCTTCTGTTGTTGTATTGCCCTAGCAAGTACTTACAATACAATGTTGAATAGAAGTGGTGACAGTGGGCATCCTACTCTGGTCTCGGCAAGTAAAACGCTTTTAGTCTTTCTCCATTGACAATGATGCTGGCTCTTGGTTTTGCATATATACTTTTCACTATGTTGAGAAAATTTCTTTCTATTAAAAAAACTGTTATAAACTTTAACTAGTTTACCAAATTTTCTTTGAATCACAGACTTTCCTATTTCCCCCATTTTGTTTTTATCTTTACTTGTTATGCTGAATCAAAGAATTTTCACCTAAGAAAGCTCAGTCAGAGAAGGTCAACTATCAGCCCAGGTGTCTCTTTGTTGCAGTGTTGCCAGAAAACAATATGTCTCCCACCAGAAAAACAATCTTGGAGACAGGAGTTGGAATGGGGAAAGGAGATGACTTTCTATGTATATCGGAGAACTGGGGATATGAGCCTCTCAAATCTTTCTCAGCAAGGGAAGGTTTTGAGGCAATATTCATAAATTAGGATAGGGGTGTGGGCAAGAGCCCATATTTATTCAGCACTTTTAGGAGGGAGGGTGGGGTTATCTTAGAAAATGAGAGGTTGTGCAAAGCAGTAGGCATGCAAGACTGAGTTCCAAGATGGCATTTTCCTGGTTAGCTACTTAGCAGTTCAACCCCTGACAGACTACATCATGAGAGTTACCATGCTGTTTGTTTTTATTTGTGTTGTTGTTGGTTTGTGGGTTTTTTTGTGTGTGTGTTTTGTTTTTTACTGAGACTTAATCATTACAGGAGATGCACTGTTAAATGTCTCTCTTTCTAGATGGTGTCTGGTTAGTGTTTTGCTATATATCTTGGTAGACTTACAGCAAAAACTAATGTGAATGTAAAAATACCATCTGTCAGTTCAATATATGATCATGGGTATGGTCTTTTGCTTTGGAGTGGTACTGCTATGATAACTGACTCTCCTGAAAGCTCTCTCTCCCTCTGAGCTGAGTAAGGTTGAGGTCAGTCACAGGAGGATTGAGAGTAGAACAGGGAACCAAAAGCTGGAATTAGAAGTCAGAGGCAGGTAACAAAGGATGACACAATTTATCGGTTTTAACTTCAAGGAAGTAGGGTTTTTGTAAGCATGAAAATTATATTAGGCAGTAAAGGAAAATACTTCTTTCTGTACAGAAAATATGTGAATTGCCTGTGGTTTGGATTTTTTAAAATTCATTTTAATGAAAACTTTCACTCTAAACTTAGAGACTTAGGGTTTCCAGTCATTCATTGTTGTACTTTTCTGCCTGCCCACCCCCTCCCCCCAATTCACTCTTCTCCTTGAAAAGTAAAAGAAAGACTCTTTCATTGTTATGCAATCCCTCCCCGCAAGTACACTCCACTGTGCAGCCTTCATTCTGTGGTTTGCACTTTATTTCTTTTTTTTTTAGAGATAAACATGATTTATTGATCTAGAAAAGTAGTTTCAATACAAGTACAGTTTAGAATACATTTGGGTTGTTTATGATTCAGTCATGGCAAATTCTTCGTAGTTGCATTTCTTCAGTGTTGGCCCCCACTGCACTCTGCATAGTTCAACTGTACATACAGATGCATTTTCTTTCTTATAATACCCTGTTTGCTTCATATTTATACTTATGAGATCAAATGTCCAGAACTTATTTTCACTTTATCAACATTTTATTTTATTATCAAACAGCTTTGGTAACAGCAATATTACAAGCATTGCACATTAGGCAGGCACATTTTCCAAACATCAGAAAGACATTAACTAATTTCAGCTTTGAGAAGAGTGTCCTAGCAGGCTGGGAGGTAATGAACAACCTTAAGCAGACCTTAGGATGAGCAGAGAGAGAGTTCCAACAGCCTTGATATTGGCACTGATAGGTTACTCAGGACCTGATGGCTGAGATGAACCAGCTCAATTGATTTTTATGTCACTCTACCCAAAATTCAGTATCCTGGAAAAGAAAGACAGATTAGTCTATTGTAGTTACCATGCCCATTCCTAGCATAGAAGGACACTTTCCAGTAAGGAAGTAGGGCAGCTTAAGAAAGATAAAAAATTAAATCAATCAACCAATCAATCAATAAAATTTGGCCCTAGATACTGTAAATGACCCTCAAAATGTCATACCAAGGTTGGATATATTTGTGAACTGGATGTCAGGCCCAGCTTTAAATTCCTCAAAGATGATAATCTGCAAAGAAGAAGGTCAGGAGGCAGTGAAGTTTCTATTAAGCTTCTAAAGACAAGACATAGTCCTAAACAGCTGAAATGGGAAGCATGGGCAGTGGGGTTACCTCATTTTTTCCCGGTTGAAGCCAAGGTCCTGGGAGGTAAAGAGTTTCCTGGGGACCTACCTCCCAGTAGCGCCCTAGGTTTTGTCCATTGATGAAAATGACTCCTTTTTTCCAACCCTGGAAAAGATTGGAGTGGAAAATTGAGGGTCTGAATTCTAGAGTTAAAGACTCTCGGAGTGAAACACACAAACACACATAGAGGCATATGTGTGCACACATACATATATACCTCGCTTATCATCTCTCTTAATTCCTGTTGATTCAGAACCTACTCATAGCTGACCCTCCAACAGATTTTCAGAGGCTGTAAAATACATGGTGGGAGACTGCCCATCTTTTTCCTGTGGAGATGCTGGTGGATATGAACTGCTTGCCTTTATATTCATAGCACAACTCCCTACCCACTAGGCCACCAGAGCTCCCTTCATGAACCACAGACACACAAAATCATAAATGTACCTGGGTAAGATTCACCAGGGCTCACATACTGCTGGGATTAAATAAGGGCCCTGATCTAAGGTGACTTGGAAAGTTCTAGGTTATTATCCCTGAACTGGGGATGGCTCAGTAGAAAGGGCCCTGATTTCTAACCTATCTCTCTATATAGGTCTCAAGCCAGAGGACAGATTTTCCTTCTACTGTCAGGGCTTCATCAAAACATACAGATCCCAAAGAATAGAAAGAGTTGTAAAATTACATGCTTATTGGAATTTCAGTGAAAATATTCCCACCCACAGACAGGCTAATCAGTCCATTAAGAAATTAAGAGTAGGCTCAATAAATGATTTTGAACCAAAAAAAAAAGAAGAAAGAAATTAAGAGTCTCAGTTCCTTGGGAGTATGTCTGGTGACCTATGATCAATTTGGCTAAATTTCCTGTGTGGCATATCTAAAAACTAACCCTATGAGAAAGCACAACATATGTCTTTCTCTTCTTCTCTTTCTCTCTCTCGCTCTCTCTCTCAGGCTTCATCTTATTCTGGTTAACCCTGGTTTGGGGCAGTACCTCAGCTGCCGTCCTTGTGAGCTTAGACTTTTTAACATAACTTGGGACCCATTTATCAATTTTTTCCCCCCAATTGTTTTCAAAAGTTCTTTGGACTGAGAGGCTGGAGAGATTTCAGGTACAGGAGAAACTTCACTCACCTCCAATTTTATGAAAGTGTCTCTAGTAGTGTGACCAATTCTCAGGTAACCGAGAAAGAAGGCAGGGCCCAGAACATTATTATGGACTGCTTTCCACTTGTTAGGAAGGTCCCTGGGAGAGAAGCAAAGAAGCAAGTTCACAGGTATCACCTTTATTTATAATGCGTCAGGGTGACCTTTGAATAGAGTCTTCCTGTGCCAGAACCCAGTGACCTCCCATGCAGGTTCATATAAGACATGAGCCTGGTAGACTAATAGTGGAGTGAATTAGATTGGTCAGTCTATCCCAGACAAGTATGAAACATAGGGTAACTTCCTTAAAGCCTATGTCTCAGTCTTTCTTCTATGCAAACCAAGGGATCAATCTAATGAGCTGAGGTTTTTCCTTCTCTAAATTCTTCCCCTCTCCAAGTAGCCCCTCTGACTGTCACCTTGAGCCAATGACTGGACACCCACCTTTGGATGAATTTAGCTTTCATATCCAGGCTGAAGATCTTAAATTTCCTTAATGGAGAATTATTCAGATAGAGATTCCCAGTTATACCTAGTGGAAAGAAAGTGAGCAAGCAGGGTGCAGACATGCACACCAGCTAGACTCAAAGCTCCCAGAAAGAAGATCTGCTGCTATCTTTACTTGGATGGAGGTTTCTGCACTCATACAACAACTTTTTTTCCCTCTGAGTGCACATCTCTTGAGGTAGTGCTTAGATATCAGGAGATCAGGAGAGGTGCTGTACTTCCTGCCAGGCCCAGCAGGCATGAGAGATCAGGGTAAATGAAATCTCAAGTAGATTTAGATTTAGTAGATTCTTCTCTGCACTTGGTGCAGAAAAGAAAGGAAGCTGTGGCTCTGGGCCCAGCGAGCACTGGAGGCAGGGAAAGAACAGCAAGCCTGAGGTCCCAGAGGAAGTATGGAAGACCCCAGGAATGGATCTGCCAAGATTTCTCTTCTTCAGCTTTCTCCTCTGGGACCATGTGTTAAAGTCTTCTTCAAAGAAGAAAGGTTGTAAATTGTCTCCTACTTGCATTCAGAACACACTTTCTGACCCCCAGAAAACAAAGGCTACATCATACTTTCTACACATAGATTCATGAGCTGAGATATCCTGCCCTCCTCCAATTGCAGAACTGTCCACATCATCCTCAGCCAGAAACAAAACCAGCAGGAATTTTGTACCTCTGGGCCTTAGCATCACCCTTCGGGAGCCCACCTTTTCTCTCCTTATTGATATCCAGCCCATAGGCTACCCGGCCTTGATTCTCCACCAGGATACTTAGAGTCCAGTAGTTCTTGTAGCCCTGTCAAGACAAGTCAGCCAGAGCAGCTCTCGGTACGCCTCTACAGACTACCCAGCCACCTCCCTCCCCTCCAAAAAATAGGAGAGACAATGGGCCTTTTAAAACTAGGCTCTGTAGCCTGCTATTATCAGCTCTAGGGAAGCCTGTGCTCCTCAGGCCAGCCCCAGCAAGGACAATTATTGGGAATTTTACCAGATATTCTATTAATGCTTATGACCAACCCAGAGTTTTATGAGCGCCAAATACCCATGGAGACATCTCTGCACACCTAGCACACAGACATTGCACTTCAGAGGTAACCCAGGTCCCCCATGTGCCTGTTGGGGTCCTCTGAGAGGGGCAATCTGAGGGTTAGCCTTGTCTACAGCAAAGACTGTGAGCTAGGACACCATCCAGGATAACAAGTGCCCACTAGTAATGGGATGGTATACATTTTTTAAAGGAAGAGTCAGTTCGTCATTGGAGCAATCCAGGACTCCTATGTAGTTTTGGTCCAAAAACACCTGTCAAGGAGAAGGAAAGCATTGTTAGGCATTCATGAGGAAAAGGGAAAGAAGGGCCTTGGAAACCATTAAAGGTGCAAGTCTAAGGGAATTGTTACACCTTTGTCTCCCATGAGTTCACAACATGCAGTAGATTTAAAGAGTCAACTACAGAGAAGTGGGTTCTCATCAGTGCAGAACAAGGAGAGAAAAATGGAAATGAAACCCCACAGGGAGTGAAGGAAAGCCAACAAGGATTAAGTGCTTCAGAAGAGATGACAGGAAAAGGAAGGACGGGCTCCAGGTGTAGCACGTGCCCTTATCTCCCTTCCTCTCCGACTGGGTGTACCTCTGCAAATGACTGGTCATTTTGCCAGGTTTTCCCAGATCTTAATACAGAAAGGTTGCTGCTGCCCAACTGGTTTGTAAAGTATAATTTAAAATATAGATTCATGTTTCCTTGAGCCCCTACTGCACTGTCTCAGCCCTAAATGAAATAAATTTTAACCCAAGTCATGAGACATCAGGTAAGGATAAAAATTTCTCCCTTAGATTGTTTGAGTTAACTTACAAAATTTTTCATTTTTAAGAGCACTGGTAGTGCAGTATATTACATGCGTGGTGCTAAGTGAAAGGTCAACAGTTCAAATTAACTAACTGCTTTCAAGGGAGACAGATGGGCAGTCTCTTTTAGTAAAGATCTTCAGCCTCAAAAAGTCGGTGAAGGATCACTGTGAGTCAGAATCTACTCCACAGAAATAGATTTGGTTTAATTTTGGCTTATGGTTGTCGTTGCTAGGTGCCATCAAGTCAAAATCAACATACAGCTGATCCTTCAGCAGGTTTTCAGAGTCAATAAATTGCATGGAGGGAGATTGTCCATCTTCCGCCTATGGAGCAGCTGGTGGATTTGAACTGTATGACACTGGATTGGCAGCACAACCTCCTACAACTAGGCTACCAGAGCCCTTACTGCATGAATAAATATTCCCCTGGGAAAGGAGTTACCAAGACAAAAATGTCATCCTGGACACTGAAAAACTTTAGTGAGACAGCATAAGTATAATAGATAACAAGAATATTCTATAATAGGTGCTGCCATCAGGACTGTGAATCATCTATGAGAAATTGCCACCAAATCACAGCCAATGAGAGGTCCAGACAATTTCACAGAGGTAGTGACTGTGATCAGGGCAGTCATCGGGAGACAGAAAATAGGGAACTGGTAATCTGAGGTTTCTACCTTTGATGGTAGTAAGGGAGTTAGCAAGGGGGCATGGGATTTAGGGGGAAAAGGAATGGATTAGAGATATGAAATAGGAAAACCAATAATGAGATTCCAGTGGCAGGAAAAGTGAGCCAAGCTGAAGTGATTACAGAATGGATTTTAAAAGAACATCAGAGTCTCTATATTGTGCTATAGAGTAGAGTGACAGAAAGCAAGGAGCAAAGAAGGAAAAAAGGAGAGGATGGGAACAGTGTTTTTAGGTGGAGGAGGCTGTAAATCCACAAACTGTTAGAGAGGATATAGGGTGAGGTTTGGTGAATGAGTGAACTAGTTTGGTTTAGAACAGGAAGACTCTAAGAAGCCTATGGAACACAGAAAAATACTTAGTGAGCACCAAGAAATATGGGTCTGAATCTCAAGAAAAGAAGAAAAAACTGGAATCACCAAGAAGTCTTTGGAGCCTTAGAAAAAGATGGTAAAAAAATATACAGTACGATAAGGAAGAAAAAGTGGTGAATATTATGAAAGCAGTCTTAACCACTTTCAGAGTGGGACAAGGAAGCCTATGATCTTGGCTCTGCCATTTTTTTTTTTAGTCCAAAGCCTATGAACATCACTAAATTTCTCTGGTGATTCCTCATTTATAACAAAATATCTCAGGTGCATGTTGTCAGAATTAAGAAGTCAACTAAGACATACTCTATATATATGTACATCCCAGATGCCCTTAAAACTAGAAATTCCTATAATGACTCTCTTTAGGGATGTTTGCTTACCTTAGATAAATAGTGTCATTAGCACACATATAAAACATTTCACTGAAGGGACAGAGGCTAAATTTTCACAAGTTATAAAGAGATTCAACTATCATTTAGACATTCATTTCTACAACAGATTTGGATTATCAAATAAGAAGTGCTACTGAAACCAGTCTGTTTTTTCATACCTGGGCTCGATCTTTAATATGATCCCTTGAATTGAGAATACCTCCTGTGGAGATGGAAGTCTCATAAAGTGTGTATCCTGTGGACTGACCACTATCTTGATTCACAGGCAGCTCTTCCATGCAGATTGGCTTGTCAGAGTGGAATGGCTATGGAACAGACAAGAGTAAGATCCAAGCTACGGTTCAGATTTTTTTAGATAGAAAACTCAAGTAAAAAAATACTAATTTTTAGCTAAGAGAATATGCCATCCCCTTTTCATTATGAATCAGGGTGAAGTCTCTTTCAGGGAGGAGTGATAGGGAATGGCAAAGGACACACTGACAAAGGAGATTAATCAAAACTGGCTTTGACAAGCACTGTGGCAAT